AATGGTGAAAAACAACACAGCAACACAACGCCAGAAATTAGTCACACATTTCGTGCATCGTTTAAAATACAAATGCACATGGCGAGGCTTACTTTAAAAGTTGTGGATTTATTTTTATTTATAAAATTGGAGACAGTAAATTTAATAGAACTACCAGTCCTTACCATAGAATTAGACCATTTATTTATAATAAAAAAAACTGCAACGCAAGTCCTATCTATTAGCCTGAAATACTTTAAGTAATAGCTTTACTATTGATCAATATTTAAATTTTTAAAGCTCAATGTTTTATCCACGAAGTTAGATAAATTTATTTTTTAATTTTTTTTTTTATTTTATTAAACAAATTGTATCTGTGATTGACAAAGCTAAAATGGATTCATTTAAAACTCAAGTAAAAGCTTACTTAATCCCTTCTTTTGAACTTTATAACATTTCTTATGTTTTACAACTAAACTCGTGTCTATGAAATATTTATTGGGTATATAATGTCAAAGAAGTTCGGAAAACTCTTCAACCCACTCACTTGGAGCTGCTCCACAACCCGTCGTTGCTGGTGCCATTAAAAATGCGAATTAAAACTCGACTTGTTGTTGGTCGGTTATCACTATATCGTACGCTACGAGTGTTACTATATATTGCTGGAGACACTTGTCGCTTGCTACCTTTTGCTCTGCTCACTTTTTGTGTGCATTTTCTGCATAAATATTTCAACACTTTCGCTTTTGTTTTGTGTCACAAACAGAGTGCGGGGAAAATTGTTTTAATAATTCCCAACGTGAGCCCCGGTCGCCCCCCACACCGCCTTCTCCTTTTCGCCTCGGAAAATGCTGTGCATTTTAATTGCATTTTTATTTAATTTTACCTTTGCTGCATCTAATTTGTCGTCATCTTGCATTGTTTCCCTTATTGTTGTTATTTTGTAATACGTTTTTTTGTGCTACTGTTTGCGAGTCGGGCTTTTGTTTTGCCTTCTCGATGTCGTGTTCACCGCTTCCCACGCACTTTGCAGACATTTCTGTTGATTTTTTCTTTATTTGGCTGTCGTCGTGCGATCGTTTGCGTAATTTTGAAACGCAAGACCAAAACAAATCATGAAAATAATTTCGTCACAGTTGACACCATTGTCTGCGAATGAACGTCATCCAAGTTTACTTTTTGTCAGCCAGAGAATTAATGCAAATTTTCATAATTACTGCTGTGTACATAACACTTTATGTCATTCGTTTTGGTTCATTGCACGTTAATTTATTCAAGCCGGTGACTTTTCTGCTTCGTGTTATATTAAATGTTTGCTAGAAGTATTATGTGTGCTTTGTGTACAAAATAATATTTAATGAGCGACTTAATGACTTATTTATGAGTTTAGCTTTGAAAATTGAATCTGTCATTCAGAAAATCAAAGTGATATTCGAAATCATTCCACCAAATCTAAGTGTTTAGTTTATTGGCGAAACTCGTTAAAAAGCAGGTCGTTGCTTATCGGACTATCTTTCTGCTCAACGATTCCACAGCAAACTAGATCATTGAATGGAGGAAACATTAGCTAAATTTATCTCTTGCCATTTATTCCCCTCAGTCCACTACTCTCTAAAATCCACCAATCTCGGCCGATTCAACTTCCGCTGCGTCTGCGCAATTCTAGTGACCCAATTTCGAATTTATTTCCAAATCCATTCATTGTTAGCCCGATTCGCTGATGTCTGCTAATTTATGACCGCCTCTAGTTTTTGTACTGTGGGCGTTGCGATTGATTTACATACAAACACATACAGTTCGCTCGACTTCTGACTTCTTTTGTGTTTTTTTTTTTCTGCGGTCATATTTCTTTAAGCAGCTTAAATTTGCATTTTGAAATCGTTTAGATTACCATGTCAGATCAAAGATCGTTGGGGTTAACAATTTCAATACGGACGGCTTACACAATCTGCTGGCAGACATAATATGCAAAAATTTCACACACCAAATGGTAATTAATAAGAGCCCAAACAAAAACCGGAGCGCTGGCAGGCTATATAATAAATTAATTACGACCACGATATCAAAGCGAAAGGCGCCGAAAGCTGAAAATTGAAAATCAGCCAAGTTGGCACTTGGAAAAAGAAGTGGTCATTTAAAAAGGGAGTAATTACCATTATAAGTTTTAAGTTTCAAATCGTGAGAATTACTTTTAGGCAAACCTATTGTTATTTCGGCATTAGAATATATAAAAATATTGTTTTATTTAAGCCACTTCTGAATTGTATGCTTTACTGCTTTCCTTATAGATGAGTGACTAATTTCGAATGAATTCCACAAATGTCCATGGCACCTGTTTATATTTTCCAGTTAATACGATTACTAGGTCATTAACTTTTTGTATTTGTAAGTGTAGAGTCCGCGAATGTTCAGAACATTTCTGCCCCCGCACTCATTTTCCAATGGCCATGGAAGTAACAGTAACAAATAATTAGCTTGTAAACTAAAAGTCATCATTAATAATGATTACCAGTGGGGATCTGGTGGGTTCTCGCCACCAATACATCTCAGGAACGTTCTTCATTCCCTTTTCGCCCATGTTGTGTGGGTGTCTGATGGCAGATGCCGGCATAAACGTCAACATAATTAAGTGAGCGACTTCTTCGGGCATCGCCATCGACTTTTTCTACTCGGCTGCGATTTATTTCGCATTAACGTTAAATATTGCTTCCTAATTAACCACGGCCCGCTTGCCACATGCAAACAGTCAGTGGGTGTTGTGGTAGAGCGGGGAAGTGCGGGGAACCCAAAAAGAGACGCTGTAATGACGCTCGATATATATATATATATTTTTGGCTCCATGATGAGCAGGATGATGATGCGTCAATTTTGCCACAGTTAATTAGTAGCCGGCGAAATAGAAAAAAAACGCACGCGCTTAGCGTTTACAGTTACTGTCAAAAGTTCTTCCCCAAACTCGAAACCAAAACTCTAACTACGATTTGGCGTGACGCATTACAGTTAAACTGATTTCTGTTTGTTACATTTTTGGGTTCTGCGGTCATCAGCAGGTTGATGTGGTCTCCCTTCCATTCTTTTTTGGACTCCTATATCTCTCGCTGATTAGTGGCTAATGAGTTCGAGTTAGATTACTGGTAATTTACTCGTGAAATAAAAGGAAGTCATGTTTTGCTAAAATAATTATCGACAAGGTATGTTTAGATGGTTTAAATACAGTAAAAGAATTAAATTATAAGATTTCTATTCAAAGTATAAAGTATTTTAAAAAATATGTTTTAGAACTTTCTTTAAATATATTTATAATTCAGTCTTTTTTGCTAAATAACAACATTAAAGTATATAGTTTCATGATTCAATTTTATAGTCTTAGTTAAAGGTATTCTAATAAAAACATTTGTTCCGTATTTATTAGAATAAACACTTTGATCAGCCACTGCCCTTTTCCTCAATCATTAACTTATAAATAATTCTGATTTAGCCACCAAACTATAAAAGAAGACAACCTAATGACTAAGCTGGATAAGCTTATTTGGTGGCATTAAAATCAAGTAAGAATCAATCGCCCGTCTGCACTAAGAAGACCATATAAAGTCGTCGGCAGGAAGGCACTTAATTTAAGGACCATGCCCACTTTAAGCCTGGCCACTCAACTTTCGCCCCCAAGTCAGAGCCATAAAGTATAGTGACAATGCTCTTAGCCCGACTTTGGGTGCGATAAAAATTGATATATAATGGATTATCGTTTATTACACGCACGATTACGTCCCACTCGCACACCCACATACACACTCGCAGGAGATGAGGACGATGTCCTTGCCGACGTCCTTCGCAGGATATGCATATTGTTTGCTTTTCTTTTCTGGCCACTTTCCACATCTTGGACTTTTTTTCGGTGCGGCGTACATTTTAATGAGCCTTGGCACCCGCCCGCTGCCAATTTGCATGTGCAGTCGCGACGGCCGTTCATATGGTTATTCGACCCACCGAGCAGGCAAACAAAGAAGCGAATAAATAATCGCACAAAGTATTGCCGGCCATAAATATCGGTGGCCCAGGGGGCTGAAACACGGATGAAGATGCTGCTGCAACAGCGGCGACGATGGACCGATGGAGGTGCAATTTCCATGCAGCATGAGTCGACAATAAAGCGCCTTAATAAAGGCAGCAGCCACGTCTGCAGGAGCCACATATACAGGAGCGGCAACACCAGCAGCCAAAGTTGCCAAATCAATCAGCAGGAGTTTGAAAAATGGTTACATTTTACTGTAAAATTAGAAAGTCTCAAAGATTTTTTATATTTTTTTTAGGGTTTTATGTCAACTTAAAACCGAGGAAAAGCTAAAACTACCGATTATAAATACCATTGCTGTACATTTGTTTACTTTTGCAATATTTGTATCACATAATGGTTGTAAACATATCAATGATTTTAAATCATAAGGTTTGTAGTATGTTTTTCCTATTTATCTTCAGATTATTAACCAAATATTTGATTTCCATCGGTATTAATATTTTTATAAGAAATGAAAAACTGTCATTTTTAAATTACAGGATATTTTAGAAAGATACCAAATTTAAGCTACATGTAAAAAAAATAAAGAAGAAAAGTAGATAAATAAAAATAAAGATTTTTTCTACAACTCCCTTTTAATACTGTGCCACCTTTGTAAAGCAAAAGGCCAACTCGCCAACACTTCTGGCAACACCCAGCAGCCAAGTAGCAACAACAATAAACAAGACGCGCAGCAATTTCACTGACTACTGAGAACTTTACGTACTGTGACGAGGACCCAAGTCGCACTCCTCTTACCCATACTCCCACTCCAACGCCCTCGATTCCCTTCATCTTCTTAGCCATCGGTCCCTTTTGGACCTTCTGCACCGTGTGCACTGAACGAAAATTGCGCCGCTCAACGCATGTTGCGCACGCTAATGGGGCGTATGCGTAATGGGCGCGCTTATTAAAACTTAAAGAGGCGTGGCCGGACTCATTACCAGCGGATACAAGGGACTGCGCTTACCTTCCAAGGGAAATTGCCGCGAAGTGAGTTCCGATTCTGTTCGTTGGGTAACTGAAATAAAAGAAAAAGGGATTAGTCGTCAGTTGGGATTGTCAATGAAAAATATATATTTAAAATATTTTATTACAATGTAAATAAACGTTGAAATTTAATTTAACACAGTTTTTAAACCAAGAATGGTTTCAGCTTGCATGTATCATCATATGAGACTTTTTTTATGAGATAGCTAAGCTTAAATAGACAAATATGTACATTTGTAAACTGCATTAAAGATGAATAAAAGTGTTTTCTGGAATTATATCTACTATTTTTTTTGTCTTTATGTTTTGCCTTAAAAGTTATTATCAAATATATTAATTTTATTTCCCATTTTAAGCTACTTATCATTTTATGTTAGTTATTTAATTAAACAAATATTCACAGGCCTTTGCACTTGCAACATTTTTGTTCAGTGCCGATTTGGCCCCTGCTCGTGTCTGTTGTTATTATATTATTGCCGCTGCTCTCTGGCCTGCCCCTTGTTGCCTTCATTTATATTACCCTGGCCTCTCTGTCGCCACTCCGGCAGCATTTCCCGCCGCTTTCCCCCTGAATTTCCCAGCCCAGTTTCCTTGGCTCGGCGCTTTCATTCATGCGCCTCACGCTGCGCACTCATTTACCCTTTAACCGAAGCGTTCGCCCCCCTTTTTGCATATCATTTGCGCGCATCTTGTTCACCCCTTTCCGCCCACCGCCCCCGCGAATGCCCCCCATAAGTGCATTACAATGAACTACGCTGGAGCCCCTGCATCCACCCCGTCGTGACTCGTAAATAAGTTTTATTGTGTTTGTGTGCCCACGCCCCCGAAAACAGACCCCCCAACCCCCCCCCCCTTTCGGGTCCAGCAGCGATGCAAGTTATCGCTTCCTTTTGTTTTTGTTTCTCGCTTTTCCATTTTTTGATAATTTAGCCAGCTTGCGCTACCCAACGAAGTTGTCTAAATTGCTGGCATACATTCTGTAGCTAATACACATGGCCGAAATCTTGGGCATATTTGGTCTTCAAAGCCTTAATACTCTTCCAAATTATAAATTCACTTTTCTATAGCTCTACTACACATAAAATGGCTTTTAGAGGTTTTGCGGTGTTCTAAAGAATTTAAACCATTTTAATTTACTTACGAGGCGAAGTCCATATTTCATAATTTAATCAATCAAGAAAGATTCCCTTCACTGTAACACATTTAGGAACCATTTTCATAAGAAAACCCAACTAATAGAGAATTTTTCTCAGTATGTTGCTGCTGCCCACTGTGTTGCAGTTGCCACCGCTGATGTTGCTGCTGTTTCTGGTGTTGCTGTTGCTGCTCTTGCTGCCGTAGCTTTTGTCTAGGTCCCAGGCAAATGACTACAAGAGTGGGCTTAGCAGGGACTCGAGCCGAGGACTGCCGACCCAGCCATCGCCGCTGAATTATGGCATTCCTAATATGGGGTATAGCTGTTGCTGCCCCGCTTAAGTCCCCCTCTTGACCCCCTCCCCCTCCCCACCCTCATCCCACTTCCACGGCTGTTGCTGTTGCATATTTAAGAGCGAATGGGCGCAATTGTTGCGCGTTTTATTGTTTTGGGAATAAGTGCGGATTTATAGAAATTTTCAGTTTTCCCCCGGACTGCCGCGGGCTAAGCTGGCCCCTCGAGAGATTTTTGGATTGCTGCTGCTCTTGTTTTTCCCCCGAAAAAAACAAGAATAGTATGCAACAATATTTTTAAGTGCAACTCTCAGCAGTTTTTGGCCAGTGGAGGGGCAACTAAAGAATATTAAAAGAGGGAGAGGCCAAAGCGAGATAGACTTCGACAGCAGCACATGACATGAACTCAATTACGGACTACCATGGTCCACAACTCCCACCAAAAAGGGGGCGTGCCAGTCGGAGGTACTTGGCTAAGAGTCCACAAATTACAAATGCCGCTCTGCATGTAAATGTGCACTTTTCTGCCCCAGCATCAAAATTAATATACAGCAGTGTGGCCAGGAAGTGCAAGGAAGATAGCATGGCAGTGGCAACCACAGAAAGAGACGGCTGGCTATCTAGAGAAAGAGAGGGGGCTAGAGATGGTGCAATAATAACAATGAAAATGCACAGAATGCGCCTTATATAAACGACAACAAATTGCCCATTTGGCACAGAAGACGACGATGATGATGACGGTCCAAGGTTCGTTAGCAAACCAAGTGAGTGGGGGAAATGGCGCGCAGGCAACTCTGGCAAAGAGGGCACAGCAAACCCGTGACATGGTAGACATTAATTGGCTGCCATGTCATTCTGTTTATGGACAGGACTTGGCCCGGCCCATTCTATTCTGTTCTCCTCTGTCAACGCCAGGCAATTCGGATCGGTACATTAGCGTTGAACGCGGCCAGGAAGGCAATATTGAGTAATAAGAGTGACGTGATGAATGGTAGTTAATACCTTCAACAAAAATTCTTTCACAGTATATGATTATAAATACTTAGTACTCTGTAGCTTAAAATATAAGTAGTAACTGTTATTAATTACTAAGCTAAGGAGCTCTTGAAATTTGACGATCAATTATGTAGCCTAATAAATAAAAAATTGTGGGATATAAAATCTCCTTTAGTTTTTAAAACAAACCCTTAGGAAAAAACAATCAAAAATGCCACATTACATTTGCAAAACAAATAATTATAAGTAATTATTTTTGTTTGCATTGAGATATTAAGATAGGAGTATTAAAAAATGTGTTCTATGTATACATATATCTTTTAGTTTATAAAGTTTTTTAAACATATGCTGAAACAAAAAAAAAACCAATGAAAAAATTTATTTATTGCCAGAACGGTTATATGCGGTTTGTACGCGAGTCTTTATAAAATTTCATTACTTATTTTTAATACCCGGGTTTTTAAAAGCTCAATAAATAGTTATTTATTACAAAAACTGTAAAAAGTATTTTATATTTATATTGCTTTTGATAGGCATATGCACAAATGCATATATTACAGGCAACTCTTCCACTTTTAATGACCCACTTTGCGAATCAATGAAAAGTAACACCATCCATTCGTTAATTGTTTTCCCATCAATCAAAATTGAGGCTGACCCCTCCCCGTCCCCCGGATTGATGACCCAAAAAAGCCGATTCGGATGCAGTAACAAGCGGAAAGGAGGTAGTCATGTCAGCTGTCCAGGCAACATTACACATACGCCACATGGGACGACCGAAAGGACGGCAAAGGACGGCGTGTGCGAGTGTGTTAGTGTCAGGTAGCCAACAGACTTTGACTCTGACTATGACTATGACTCTGGTTTTGGTTCTCCAGCTAGACAGCCGTATTATTAACGCAGTTGCTGCTGCTGCTGGCATTTGCAATTTTACGCCGCGCATGTGCCACTTACGTGTTTGGCTGCCACAAAACTCCGCTTGGCTTGGCTGACTCGGCTAAGCTCCTATCATGTTCAAGTGCTTGGCCCCAAAAACCCAACAGTGGGTACGTTGGAAAAACAAAATAGAGACTCTAACCAAGAAAGAAACAGCGTGGCAAATGCATAGGGCTTCCGATGTTGCTGCTGTTGATGTTGCTGCTGCTGTTGCTGTTGCTGCTGCATTTCCACTCGAGCTAACCCATGGTGTCACATTTGTCGACGCCAGTCAGTCAGTCATAGTCACCGACTGGCTGTTTTGCAATTCTTGTGGTATTTGTGGCATAAAATAAAACCTAAATGAGCAAAAGCAAATGCAACTGCAACACCACGATGCCACAATCTCATTTCGTAGCCGTCGTATTGAATTCAATGCATTTTCCGTACGACACCTTGAGGTGTTCATTTTCATGCCAGAAGAAAATGCGCTTAATTATGCGCCGAAGCAAAGCGATTCTTTATATAAACATTTTATTTTTTTTATTTTTGGAGGCCATTACTTGCAATTGGAGCGCGCTGCAAGGCTAAATTCTGCAATTGCAACAGAATCGCAATGGTTCGGAAAAGTTTTACGGTCAAACAAAAATATGAAGAGAGCGATAACTTGAAGAGTTATTGCCAGAGACAGCGGCAGTCAACGAATATAAAAAAAACTGAAACGAATCCCTGCTGAAATATGAATGAATACTTTATTGAATATTGTGCGACGTATGCAAAATGATGGCCGGCATTGCTGCTGTTGCCCGTTTCTGGTAAACCGAAGACCGCAACTGACAGGAAACCATTTAAACTGACCTCAAATGACAACGGCAGCGACAGCCGGGACCCAGACTCACAGTTCCAGACTCAGACCCATTCCCATTCCCTTTTCCGGAAAAATACATGCGAAATACAAAATGCAATGCCAGCGAAGGGGGGCCACAAAAAATAAACCCAACCCAAAACCCAAAACCGTGGCACTCCATAGATGGACAATGCTCTGGGGCTGGGAAATAAAAACGTGGCAGCGAAGGAAAGAAACGACCAAAATGGTAGCTAGCCACAAACAAATTGGCAGCAATTTGAGGACCCAACAAAAGGCGACAAAAGCCCCACCGAATGTTGTTGTAAGCTGCTGCTGCAGCCAGGACAGCAGGACTTTCGCGGATTGTGTGACTCAACATCCCGGAAAAACCAACAGGAGCCGGCATGTTGATGGAATGAAATGAAATATAGAATACAGCTCCACATTTCGATTGATTTATATGCTCGTGACCCATACCCCGACCCCTCCATTTTCGAGCTGGAGCTGGAGAGCTTGCATTGCAGCTATGCAAATTGCATGGCTCAGTTATAATGCCATTCCCCCGGACAAGGCCAGCATCCAGGGTAATCCAATACGCAGCCAGCCACTGGAGAAGCTGATCCAAGGCTAGAGAGCTGGGCAGATGGTTTTTATAAGAAGCGGTAACGTGGAATCTCCGGTGAGCGAACAACCTTAGACGGTGTAGTCTTTTATTTTGTATAAGCTTTGTCTTTAGAAGAGTTCTTTTCAATGATATAAAATTGATATAAAAAGATTTCTTACATTGAATTTTAAATGTAACCATCTATAAAAGCTGTTATCTTAAATGGATAGATTGTAGGACA